ACCCCTTCCCCTCCCCCAAGGCTCCCTAGTCCACTCACCTTGCCGAAGGTCAATTTCTGCCAGCTGCCCATGAGTGTTCCCCACGATCACCGAACTGAGGAGGAGAGCAGAGGCAGGTGGGGTCAGCAGGAGCTTTCTGGAGTCCTTCCTGAGCCCCACTCTTCACCCTCTAAACACTCACTTGCCCCCAGGAGTGAGGGTCATCGCTGTCAGTGGGTACTCTCCATAGGTGGCTTCTAGGACTGGCCGGCGTTGGGGGGAAGCTGGATCATAGACACGGACCTGGAAGAAGACTGAGGCATCACAAGAGTGCCCTCACCCCACATACCCACCTCTGGCTTTTCCACATCTTCACACCTTCCTTCATACACTGCTTTCTTGTTATGACCCACTCTTAGAGAAACTTTCTCATTTGAAATGCATCCCTCTTCACTGAGTGTTGAGGGGTGGGGAGAGCTGCTGTCCATTCAGGGCTGAGGGGAGAGGTCTCCCAGGTTGGGGGGTGGCACATTCCTGTAGTCTGCATGTGTGAGCATTCCATTCCCCCATACTCCCATCTTGGGATGGAATTGCAAGTCCATCCCATTGTCAGGGTGCTACATTTCAAGCAGAGAAGTTTAGCCTCAACAAGGAAGGAGAGAGGAAGTCCGCACGTGTTTTGAGCAGAGGCACTGATCAGACTTCAATATGCAGGAGCAAAGGAAACAGAGCAAATAGTGACTCAGCCTTGTCTGGGTCTTAGGACTTCCAATGAGACCAGCTGTCAAGATCCCCAGTGGGGCTCCTCCTGTAAAGTGGAGGAGCTGAGGCCAGAGAGGGGAGCATCAGGCTTGGGTCCCAAAGCAAACCAGAGGCTACATCAGGACCAGAACAGTTCTCCTGACACCCAGTCCAACGTCGTCTCTTGACACCTGCACCATGTGATTCTACTGTGAAAGGAACACTCCCTTCTCCTTTCTTCCAGGTGGGAGGAAAAGGAACAGTCATAGCTCAGGAAACTCCATCCTAGAATGCAGTAAGAGAAGGTCACTGGCTCAGCCACAGGGTTGGAACGGATGTGGGAGTGCTCCCTCCTCTGAGAGCTCAGGGAGAGAAGGACGGTGAGAAAGGCAGCTGTGCCAAACGACGGGGGCTGAGCCCGCACAGAGAGGCTGTTTCTCTAGGAGGATGCTTAATACCAGGAGGAGAGAGGGGTAGGGCAGCGCCTCACCTGGTGGTACCCTGTACAGGTGACGAGCTTCTGTGACTCTGGGAGGAACTGTATGTCCTGGTCCCAGATGGGAACCCGCAGGTCGAGCCAGTCATTCCGCACCTGGGATAGGTGGAGGAGAGAGGTGTGAGGGGCTCATTGTGGCCCTTCCTTCGGCCTTCCATTATCGTCCCTTAAAGCCCACCTGGTCTCTGACTCATAGTCAGTGGCCTCAGGCTCCCTGGACCTCAGACCCAGCCCCTCCCCAATCCCATCACTCACATTCTTGGCCCTGAACACAGGCTCCTCAGACCCCTGTAGATCCCACACCTTCAAAGCATTCTCCTTCCCACCTGTGGCAACCACATGGGGATGTGCTGGGTCTTGGCGCATCCTGCACACCCCAGGGCCCACCCTCAGTTCCAGGAGCTGAAAAAAAAAAAAGGGAGATGAGAGTCAGTTCCAGAGTCCTTAATCCTCTTCCCCAAAGCCCTCATTTGGCTCCTATGCTGGCCCCTGCCTTCCCCAACCATCAGGATCAGGGAAGGGGAGCCTCACTGGGTCAGAGGATGCCTCTTTGTCATTGTCATGCCAGACTCGGAGAATCCCAGAATCCACACATGTGATGAGGGTGCTGCAGGCAGAAAGAATAGAGTTAGGTTAAAAAAAAAAAAAAAAGTCTAAGAGTTTTCTAGGCCCCAGTCAACCCATCCCCAAATTCATATTAACTAGATTCCTTGTTCCTAAAGAAGACTCTAAGTGACAAACGTCTGGGCAGGGCTTGACAGCTCCCAGCTTCCCTGTCTGTTATCTCAATTTCCTCAACAGGGTGAGGGTTTACCAGTTTTATAAGTGATGAAACTGAAACTCTGAGAAATTAAAAAATTTGCTCACTCAGCTATAAATGCCAGAACCAGAGCTGGAAATCAAGCCTGTGACAGTGAAGAGCAGGACACCTTTGCTATTCCACAGCTACATCTGGGGACTCTGACCCTGCTAGTCTTTCTGAATCTTGAGTTGGTCACAAGGGGTCAGGATCAGTAGCTCTGAAAGTATTGAAATGGTACTGGTCTGGATTTAGGGTTTGGCCAAAGTAAATACCAGCTTCTTCTCTCGAGTTCCCTATTCTGGGTTCCAGACACTAAATATCACACTCTCAAAGTACCCCTCCCAGGGACGGCCCTACCTATGGTATAGTGGTTAAGTTTGGCCCCTTCCACTTTGGTGGCCTGGCTTCAGTGGCCCAGGTTCACAGGTTTGAATCCTGGGTGTGGACCTAGACCACTTGTCAGCCACACTGTCGTGGCAACACACATATAAAGTAGAGGAAGATTGGTACAGATGTTAGCTCAAGGCTAATCTTCCTCAGCAAAAAAAAAAGAAAGAAAGAAAGAAAGAAAGAAGAAGAAGTAGTACCCCTCCCTTAAAGCCCAAGCAAGTCTCTTCCCAGGATGGGTATGCCTGAGCCTATGCTCTTTCTCACATCTGCCCACCCTCCCCACCTTGGTTCAGGCTCAGTATCGCTTGCCTGGGCTGTGGCAACAGTCTCCCAGCTGCTCTCTCTCCAATCCATCCTCCACAGTCCCACAGGCTCACAGCTCTGACTATAGCACTTCCCACTCAAAATCCAATAACACCCCACCACCTACAAAGCAGAAGTGCAAATCTCTCAGCGTGCCACTTAAAGCCCTTTACATTTTTTTTAAAAAGATTGGCACCTGAGCTAACAACTATTGCCAATCTTTTTCTTTTTTTCCTGCTTTTTTCTCCCCAAATCCCCCCAGTACATAGCTGTATATTCTAGTTGTAGGTCCTTCCAGTTGTGGCATGTGGGACACCGCCTCACCATGGCCTAAATGAGCAGTGCCATGTCCATGCCCAGGATCCGAACCAGCGAAACCCTGGGCCGCCAAAGCAGAGCGCGCTAACTTAACCACTGGGCCATGGGGCCGGCCCCAAAGCCCTTTACATTTAATCCCAACCTACTCTGCCCATCTTGTATTAAAATGCTGCCTTAGCTTCAACCCTCAAATGCTATTTATCTTCCCTGAAGTGTACCCTTTAGCCTGACACCAATCCTTGGCCTCTGCCCTTTCTAGAATGCCCTTACCCCTTTCTCCACCTGTCAAAATTCTACCCATCCTTTGAGGCCCAGTTCAAACATCTCACCCCCAAAGAGCCTTCTTCAGATGTGACCTGTCAGAATTAACACCACCAAACCTACACAGCCTGTTCACAGTCTTCTCTCTCCATCTTTAGAAGAAAACTAGGCCAGTAACCTAATCTCTCGCACTTTCCTATCCAACATTGGGAGCTTCAGCACCTTGGTGATTGTTAACTTTCCATCTAAAAACATATTCTAGGGACTGCCCCGGTGGCGCAGTGGTTAAGTTCACACATTCCACTTCGGAGGCCCAGAGTTCGCCAGTTCGGATCCTGGGTGCGGACATGGCACCGCTTGGCAAGCCATGCTGTGGTAAGCATCCCACATATAAAGTAGAGGAAGATGAGCATGGATGTTAGCTCAGGGCCAGTCTTCCTCAGCAAAAAGAGGAGGATTGGCAGCAGATGTTAGCTCAGGGCTAATCTTCCTCAAAAAAAAAAAAAGATAAATAAAAATAAAAAGTAATTTTAAAAAGCATATTCTAAACTATTAAATGACTTGCTCAGGATCACCCAAAAGGTTATGGAGCCAGGAGAAAAACGCTGGAAGATGCAAACTCTAGGAAGGCTTGTACTATGGGTGTCTGGTTTACCTGTAGCCCTTGCATTTCGCCCAATGCCTATAACTCAGTAGGTGTTCAATAAATGTTTGTTATGAATGAAGGAAGGCAGGACACAAGTCCCTGTCACCCAGCCCAGGCCCGTCTCACCTAAGGGTTGATGGCTATTATTCGGCCGTCCTGCGGGAACCTCAACGTTCTCCCTACGACCTGAGCGTTCGGCGAGGGGCTCAGTCTTACCCGTCCACCTGGGCGAGCCCTCGGAACGTGCCCTCCCCTCCGGGACAGTGCCTCTGGCCCTGGAATCTGCCCTCTTCGATGCTGAAGTGCCTCACTGTCCTGTCGGCGCAGCCCACCAGGATCTGCGGGCAGAAGAAGGCAGGATGGCGAGGAGAGCGAGGCCGCCGTGCCCCGACCCCCCAGCTCCGGCCCGGCCAGCGGCCGCTCACCTGAGTCTCGCCGCCGGCGCCCCAGCACAGGGCGCTCACCGCCTCCTCGCGCCGCGGCTGTCCCGTCGCCGTGAAGTTCGCCGCCTGTTTGCGCTGAAGGTTCACCCCTGCGGGTCGCAGGCGTCAGTCGCGTCGGGGACGCGAGCGGACGACCCCCCGCACTTCCCGACGCCCGGCCGCGCCACGCACCTTTCAGGATCCCAGTCTCAGTGCCGATCCACACATGGTTCCAGCGCGCCCCAGCAGCCGCCATCACGGAGCCAGAGGGCCGGCAGCGCGCACTTCCGGCGCAGCGTCTGCGTCACCGGAGCGCGCCGAGAGCCATCCTCGACGAACGCCGTTCCTGGGCGTTTAAAGAGCTGGAAGAGCGAAGATCCCTTGCCTGTTGCGGCTGGTTTTGCTTTACGAGAACGAAGTCTGGAGACGCTTGCAGATTGACAGTGGAGAGTTGAGGAGTAACCTGACCATTTCATACTTGAAGTGGAACGCCTCCTAACTGGACCGCGACGCCGGTCGAGCCAGGCCTAGTCCCTGTCCGTCCTCCAAAGCATCGCGGAAAACCTTTTCTGTGCAAGACAAGCGCCCCCTTCAGAAACGATTCAGATCACTCATGAGGCGCATGGCTTCAACCTCGAGTAGAAAAGACACGGATGAAGAAAGACGGGGAGGGCATCGTTTTTATTTCCTCACATTGAAGTTTGGTGATGGTAAAAAATTAGCTCAAACTGAGAGTGAAAATCTTCAAAGGTAACAAAAACAATATTTCTCCCAAGCATAAGCTGCAACTTTAAAATGTAACGGGCCGGCCTGGTGGCGCAGCGGTTAAGTGCGCACGTTCTGCGTAGGTGGCCCTGGGTTTCCCCGTTCGGATCCCAGGTGCGGACATGGCACTGTGTGGCAAGCCATGCTGTGGTCGGTGTCCCACGTATAAAGCAGAGGAAGATGGGCACGGATGTTAGCTCAGGGCCAGTCTTGCTCAGCAAAAAGAGGAGGATTTGCAGCAGATGTTAGCTCAGGGCTAATCTTCCTTGAGAATAATTAATTAAAATGTCCTAACGGCCCCCTTCTTGAGTGAGTACTGTTTTCTTACTGAGAGGTTGTGTTCTCTGAAATCAGAGACTATCAGAAACTTCTTCATTTCAAATTATAGCCGTATGAATGAAGCATCCCACTCTTGCCTGGCGGATCTAAATCCTCCACGAAGCAGTAGCCTTGATTTCCAGCTCAGCTGCAGAGCTGCCGATAGGAGTTCTGAGCATAAACATTCCACATTCTCTAAATTTTGTATTACCAAGGAAACGGCACCCTCGCTCTACTTCGCAGTCCAGACCTGATGCTGACCTCTTTCCACACAGCCCTGCTTTGTGTTGAGCGTATCAACAAGCTATTTATTTTCTTTAAAAAAAAAAAAAAAAATCTTTCTTATTTAACGTATCCCATCTTTTTTTTTTTTTTAAGATTTTTTTTTTTTTTCCATTTTCTCCCCAAAGCCTCCTGCTACATAGTTATATATTCTTCCTTGTGGTCCTTCTAGTTGTGGCAAGTGGGACGCGGCCTCAGCGGGGCTCGGTGAGCAGCACCATGTCCGCGCCCGGGATTCCAACAAACGAAACACTGGGCCGCCTGCAGCAGAGCGCGGGAACTTAACCACTCGGCCACGGGGCCAGCCCCTCAACAAGCTATTTAAATTAAACCTAAACTCTGTGTTTCCCTTTATTTTTGAGACGTCCAACCATTCATTCCTCTGCTGGAAGGTCTACCCTTGTAAAGTTGGGAACACACCCGGGGTTCTAAGATTGATGCGGCGAGACCAATGGCCTCCCGTTTACTATTAGGGGAAAACTAAAAGCTGAAGAACGACAGAAGGACCAAGCACTTTCTTACATAAGACAAACAAGGACTTTAAAAAAGAGTGCACCCTTCCTAGAAGTATAGTAGTAATGCCAGTGGATGCACAGCCAGAAAAACCTAGCTGGCATTGGAGTTTCTTTTTCGAAAGCTTTCTTAGCAGACTATCCTGCAATAAAGAACGCACCAAGCACGCTGGAAAGTACGAACACTGACCTACCGCTTAAATACCTAGAACAACTTTCTTCCGTAGGTGAACACTTTCCCTACCATTTAATTACACTAACTACATTGTAGCATAACTTCACCCAGCGTTACTAGCAAATGCCCCAAAACCGAAAGTAACTTCCTTCATAAAGTGGAAACAGTTATTACTGACGATACTAAACTCAACGTCGTAACTAAATACATTATGGATGAAGTACCGCACTATTTAAAGCTAGAGCAGATTTTCGATTCTTATTTTGAAACCACAGTTATTCCCCTCGAAGGGGGTGCACCGTTCCTGGAAGTACTGCAATACCAGGTCGATGCGTGGAGTGGACGGAGCAAGCTCCTATTCCATCTCCTAATTCCAGAAATCCATTTAATATATTGTCCTCGGATAGAGGACGTATCAGATATTAAACTGATAAGAACAGATACTACACTTGATCTTAGCCAAAAGGCCGAGAAGCGATACCGGTCATCGTGTCTCCCAGCCAGCCTTACCCTTACTTTAGCTTTCGCAGTTGTGGTGACTTTTAGGGCATAATGACTACATTACCTTTCAAAATGTATTCTTTCCTAAACTCATTTCCTCATTATTTTCCCTTCACCATAATAGCTAGATTTTGGGAAACAGACCTTAAATAGGGTTCTTTACCGCTTCGCCTGCCTGCTCACGTTCGGTGGCTTTGCATAAACCCGCCCCTCCACTTTTTTACATTCTCGGGATTGGTTCACACATATGCTGTGATTTCAGTGCCCGTGTGGTCTCTATTTCTCCCAGACTGTGGCGTTAGGCTTCCATCCTGAAGACTGGGACGCTCCTAGGGGCGGCTGGGCGGTGGTCTCCAATAAGCGATTGCAGGGGCGGCGGGGGGGCGGTGCCCCATCCGGGACATTTATTTGAAGAGGCCGCAGTTGCGAGCGCGAGCTTTGCAGTCCAAAGAACTGAGTTGGGATCCCGGCTCGCCAGTTCCTGAGTGGACGTGAGGCGTGTTGCCTGGGCTCCTCTCCCTTGTTAAGTGGGGGAAGGATAACACGCGTTTATGGAGTGGTTGTGAAAACCGAGGGCACCTTGTGCGCTGGGCCCAGAGCTGACGGCGAAGGTTGGCCTTTAGGACTGCGTTCCCCTCGCATCCTGGAGCTCCAGGCTCCCTTCTGCGCCTCCCCTTGACTTGTAACATCCCCCTCCCCACCCCACCCCCTCCCCACCCCACCCCACCCCACCCCACCCCACCCCACCCCCACCCCACCCCCACCCCCCCACCCACCCCCTGTTGCATCTTGCCGTTTGCACCATCTGTCACTCACCCTTGGCACTTCACAAAGGGGAAAAGATGCACCAAGAAAAACGTTTTGGAGGCTCCTTCTTCCTAAATCCAAGATCCAAGCGGCGGGAGGGAGGGGGTGAGATCCGTGTAGGTAAAATGTAAATGAAGCAATTTTTTTTATAGGCTCAAAGCAAAGCCCGGCTGGATGAAAGGGATTAATATCCGGCCCTGGCTGAGAACGGATTTGAGGTCCTATTTCCTTGGAGACACTATTAATATAAATGTGGAAGATTCTGTTCGAAACCTCTTTAGCTGAAGCTCTACTCTGAGGCCGGAAATAGAGCCCACGTCTGTGTCAAAGCGCCTGCATTGTATGGAAAAAAAAAGAGGCGGGGGCGCGGCCAGGTGGCTAAATGGTTAAATTCCTGGACTCCGCTTTGGAGGCCCAGGGTTTCGCCGGTTCCGATTCTGGGCGCGGACACGGCACCGCTCATTGGGCCATGCTGAGGCGGGGTCCCACATGCCACAACTAGAAGGACCCACAACTAAAATATACAACTATGTACTGGAGGGATTTGGGGAGAAAAAGCAGAAAAGAAAAAAAAAGCGCTTGCAGAGGCATGGCTGAGATCCTTTAGGCAAGAGTGGGGCCTTCCATTCTCATGGATGTGATTTCAACTAGCAGAGTTTCTGGTAATCTATGATTTTAGAGAACAAAATTCTCAGCACCGTGTCCCTTATGTTAATAAACAGAAGCAGTTTCTACAGGTTCCTAAGTAAAACCGGAGGCTCCAGGGAGAGGCTGAATCAAGGGGGTGTGGTGGGCAGAATGATACCCCCACAAACATGCCCCTGGCCTAATTCTCAGAACCTCCGAAGGTGTTACCTTCCCTGGGAAAGGCACTTTGCATTTACGGTTAAATTAAGGATTTGAGAAGGAGAGATCATCTTGGATTATCTGGTGGGCCCTGTATAATCACAAAGGTCCTTATTAGGGTAGGGAGTAGAGGGAGACAGGAGGCTCCGTCAGAGCATAGCTGCAGGAGAAAGATTTGATGCACCGTTGCTGGCTTTGAAGATAGAAGGGAGTCATCAGCCAAGGAGTGTGGGCGCCTCTAGAAGCTGGAAAAGGCAAGGCAATAGATTCTTTCTTAGACCCTCCAGAAAGGAATGCAGCCCTGCTGACACAGCTTGATTTTAGCCCAGTGAGACCCATTTTGGAGTTTTGACATCCAGAACTGTAAGATAATAAATTTGTTTCGTTTCCAGCCACTGAGTTTGTGGTAATTTTTTACAACAGCAGTAGAAAAACGAATACAGGGGCAAATGCAAAATTCGTTTTCTTTCTTTCTTTTTTTTGAGCAAGATTAGCCGTGAGCTAACATCTGTTGCCAATCCTCCTCTTTTTGCTGAGGAAGACTGGCCCTGAGCTAACATCCGTGCCCATCTTCCTCCACTTTATATGTGGGACGCCTACCACAACATGGCTTGCCAAGCTGTGCCACGTCCGCACTCGGGATCCAAACCAGCGAACCCCAGGCCGCCAAAGTGGAACGTGTGAACTTAACCACTGCACCACTGGGCCGGCCCCTCAGTTTCTTTCAATCCCAATCTGCTCCAAATTCTGCGAGATCCAACCTGGGGAAGGCCCCAGCTGCCCAGCTGAGCAGGCTTCAGTCCTTCTGCCCAGGCTGCATCCAAGGGTCCTGGAGCACAGATCTCTTGGTGGGCAGCTCCCCAGTTGGGTCTCAGAGGTCAGCAGTAGCCCTGTTCCTCCTCTGAAGCAAAGGCAAGTGGGAGTGGCTCCCTCCCTCATTCTGCTATTATCCCTGCCTCTTGCTGTGTGGATACAGAAGGCTGGTAGTAAGGGTCCCACAAGAACTTGTGAATACATTTGCTCCTTGGGAGGCCATTTGTCTATTTGCTTATGCTTACTGAGCAGACACTCTACAACGATAAGCAAAATCAGACATGGACCTTGCCTTCATGATGTTTATAGTCTACTGGGGAAAACTGAGAGATGGCTCCCCTGATCCTCGCGGCAAGAGATGAAGGTGGCTGTGATGGCAGAGATGGAGAGAAGTGGAAGAGTTCACAGAGATTCACTGACCTTGATGACAGGCAAAGTGAGGCCAAGGGAAGAATATTGTTTCCATGTGGGTACATTTAAACTTTGTAACAATGTTTTATTTTCATGAAACTAATATAAACTGTCAAGTAGTGTGCAAAGGCTTATAACAACCTCCTCTCCAATTTACACCCCCCTTTTAACTCTTTAAACTTTTTTTAATGGTACTTCCCTCTATATTTATAAATCGATTAGACAATTTTAGACTTTCCTTTTTTTTGGCATTCTTGAGAGGAAGATGTTATAAACTTGAAAACCAACACGCTATGAAGCAGATGAAAGAAATGCATTGTCAACTTGAAGAGGTTTTTAATTTTTGTTGCATTCCCCAAATCTGTTGAGAATCTGTTGTAGGCTTTCCCCAAATAAACATGTCTGCCTTACATAATTTTGCGTACAATTTCCAGGGGGACTTGTAGAGCCCCCTGAAGGCATTCACTAACCTAAAAGTTAACAACCACAGCCCTAAAAAAGACAGAAGAACCTGCCTGAAGGAGTCCAAACACCTGAAAAGAGGCCACATCAAGTGAAGGAAGAGGATCTGGAAGTCCTGGGGGCCCTTGTGGGCAGGCCTGTCCAAGGGCTGTCCGAGAGAGCCCTGGCTCCAGGACTTAAGAGTGGCTATCCTGGGCCCATTTTCTTTTCTTTTTTCTTTTTTTTTTTTAAAAATTTTTTAGTGAGTTAATGATAGGTTACAATCTTGTGAAATTTCAGTTGTATATTATTGTCTGTCAATCGTGTTGTAGGTGCAACCCTTCACCCTTTCTGCCCACCCCCCACCCCGCCTTTCCCCTGGTAGCCACTAATCTGTTCTCTTTGTCCACATGTTTAAACTCCTCATGTGAGTGGAGTCATACAGAGATTGTCCTTCTCTATCTGGCTTATTTCACTTAACATAATTCCCTCAAGGTCCATCCATGTTGTTGCAAATGGGACGATTTTGTTCTGTTTTACGGCTGAGTAGTATTCCATTGTATATACATACCTCATCTTCTTTATCCAATCATCTGTTGATGGGCACTTACGTTGCTTCCACATCTTGGCTATTGTAAATAATGCTGCAATAAACATTGGAGTGCATAGGACTTTTGGAATTGCTGACTTCAAGCTCTCTGGATAGATACCCAGTAGTGGAATAGCTGGATCATATGGCAGTTCTATTTTTAATTTTTTGAGGCATCTCCGTACTGGTACTGTTTTCCACAGTGGCTGCACCAGTTTGCATTCCCACCAGCAGTGTGTGAGGGTTCCTTTTTCTCCACAACCTCTCCAATATTTGCTACTATTTGTTTTAGTTATTTTTGTCATTCTAATGGGTGTAAGGTGATATCTTAGTGTAGTTTTGATTTGCATTTCCCTGATGATCAGTGATGATGAACATCTTTTCATGTGCCGATTGGCCATCGTATATCTTCTTTGGAGAAATGTCTGTTCCTGGGCCCATTTTCCCTCACGGCAACTCTGACCTGGAGTTAGGCAGGTCCTGGAAAAGAGGCACCAACTCTCATCTTGGCCATCAACCCCACCCTCTTTGCCAATTTGTTTTGATTCCCTGGCTCTCTAGGAATTCAAATTTTCTACTCCTACTTACACTCTCTGCTGAAATGATCTCATCCAGTGCCTTGGGTTTCCCTCCCATCCATTCCCCGGTGACAACCTATTCCCTGTCTCCAGCCTGACTGGTCAGTGGTGCCCGGCACCCTTCCTGGTGCTTTACGTGTATTAACAACCTTAAAGGATAAGTGGGTATCATCATCTTCCCTCTTCTGCTGATGGGGAAATGGAGGTGCAGCAGGTGAGGTGACTTTCTTAAAGTCACATAGCTATTAAGTGGCAGAGACAGACTCCAAACCCAAGTGGCCTGGCTTTGGAGCCCACATTCCTAAACCCTATGCCATACCGTCCTCACTTGACTCTCTCCTTGGATGTCTGGGAGGTATCTCAAACTCAGTACAGTTGGCCCTCTGTATCTGTGGTTTTGGCATCTGCGGGTACAGAGGGCTAACTGTATTCATTGTACTACTACAATTTTATACACATAAGGGACTTGAGCATCCTTGGATTTTGATATCCGTGGGGGTTCCTGGAACAAGTCCCTGCAGATACTGAGGGACATACTGTATATCCAAAATGATTCCCTCCTCCTCCCACCAGGACATCCTTTATGCTCCCTTCGCCTCACCCCCACATCCACTCCATCAGCCAAGCCTGTTGCTTCTACCTCCAAAATACATTCTGAATCACTCCATTTCATTCCATCTATTTCCTAGCCTGGACCCTTCTGCCTCCAGCTCTCCCCATCTTCTCTTTTAGGTTTCAGTTCAAATGCTACATCCTCAGAAATGCCTTCCCTGACCACCTTTCTTACCACATCACAGATTTGTGTTCTTTGCTGGCATTTATCATACATCTCAGGGTGTCTGAAACTCATCGCTGTTGACACTTGGGGCTGGGTAATTCATTGTTTGGGGAGTGGGAGAGAGGGAGCTGTGCTGTGCATTGCAGGGTGTTTGGCGGCATCTTTGGCCTCTACCCAGTAGATGCCAGTAGTGTACCCCCCCAAACCCCTAAAGTTGTGACAACCAAAAATGTCCCCAGACATTGCTAAATGTCCCCCAGGGGGCAAAATCACCCCTGGTTGAGAACCACTGTGCTATTTCAAATGATCTTATGTGTTGACTGTTTTATTTTGCCACTCCCTCTTCTTCTAGAATGTAACCAAAGAGCAGTCAACAAAGACAGGAGCAAGGCCTTGGTCTCCGGTGAGTATGTAAGTGAATTTAAATGAGGTCGTCTTGTTACACTAAATGGCCCCAGCCCCTCCTCTGTGTGACTGCTTGCTGCTCTGCACGTACTCTAAAATAATTCACGTTTTCCTCATTTTTGGCCTCCACTTATGCACGTGCTCCTCCGTAGCTTGATAAATTAAAACTTTGTTCTATGAGTTTCTATCCAGGAACAGGCTGACCACGGTGGGAAACACACCTACAAAGTATCCATCACAGCTGACAGAAGAATGGAACCATGTGATACCTGGAGCCCATCATGCGGGAAGACTAACATCCCTGGAACACTCCCTCACTGCCCATTTTTCCTATATAGCTACCTCAAGAGTCTGTAAATTTTTTGTGTGTGTGTGAGGAAGATTGGCCCTGAGCTAACATCGGTGCCAATCTTCCTCTATTTTGTATGTGGGATGCTGCCACAGCATGGCTTGAAGAGCACTGTGTATGTCCACACCCAGGATCCAAACCTATGAACCCTGGGCTGTTGAAGTGGAGTGTGTGAACTTAACCATGACACCAGTGGGCTGGCCCCAAGATTCTGCAATTTTTGAAGACTTTGAGATAGTAGTCTACTGTCTTCCTGACTATGCTGGCTAATTGAATTAAAACTTCCTTTCTGGATCCCTAACTCGGTGTGATTAATTGGCTCAGATGATGGTGAGCAGAGCAAGCCCATTGCTTCATATCAAGTACATTGCTATGTTTGGGATGGAGCAGGTTGTGGGCAGTGTTACCACTTAACGCGGTGGAGAGACTTGGGGAGGAGCGGACGTGAACAGGACAGGGAATCAAGGGTCTGAATCTGTGACTGGCTATCAGCTGGGGAGGTCAAGGGGTGGTTGGATGTACCAGGAACTCAGGGAAGAGGTCCAGGCTAAAGATATTGTAATGAGTCACTGGTGTACAGAAGGAATGTGAGGAGCTGGGGCTCACTCATTCTGGCACTCTCCCCCATTTCCCCATACAGTCCCACTCTCATTTCTTAGCCTAAATAGTCAATAACTCCAGGCTTAATTTGACTTCCTCATTTGCCAAATGGTGAGTATTGGGGGAATGCTTCATTCTCTACCAAACACTTCCAGTGCATCTTGCCTGGCCCCTTCGCCAGCCTCAGTCTAGCTTTGGTTCCATCACTTCCTTGCTGTTTCCCAGGTCTGGGTTACACTCACAGCGGCCTCCAGACTCCCAGAGCGAACAGCGTGGTCTGACGGTTAAGCCCCTGGGACTTTGGCAACTGATCTTCCCCTGCTATCCCAACTCTGACAGCGGGCAAGTTGCTTATCTTTTCTTTGCCTCAGTTTCTTCCTCCATCCAAGGATGCTTCTGGCACGTGCCTCCCAGGGTTGGAGAGAGGGCGAGATGACCTATTATTGCACATGGTGACCTGCTTGCAGTTACTTTCAGTTCCACGTGACCTTTTTTTTTTTGTGAGGAAGATCAGCCCTAAGCTAACTGCTGCCAATCTCCCTCTTTTTGCTGAGGAAGACTGGCCCTGAGCTAACATCCATGCCCATCTTCCTCTACTTTATATGTGGGACGCCTACCACAGCATGGCTTGCCAAGCAGTGCCATGTCCACATCCGGGATCAAACCGGTGAACCCTGGGCTGCTCAAGTGGAAGGTACCACTTAACCGCTGCGCTCCTGGGCCGGCCCTTCCATGTGACCTCTTTATGGCTTTAACACCGATTCATCTGGGGTGTGTGTGGGTGCTCTCGTCCCCGTTTCCAGATCAGCACTCTGCAGGTTCTCCCACTGCTTACAGTGCCTTTCTGGGTTTCTCCTCTGCTGTTCCTCTAGCCTTTAAAATGCTGGTGCTGCCCCAGGGGCCTTGGGTGGGTCCTCTTGATCCCCGTTCGGTGCCGGCCTTCCCATTCTTGTGGCTGTGATTACTGTGTGGACAACTCTCAGATCCATACGGCTACCATTTAATGAGCAGAAAATACATTTCCTTTACCTTGCCCTTATACTATAGTCCTGACACAAGATGTCTGTTCTAAAATTTACATGTGGAAATGTAGAAATATGTGGGAAACCCTTAATTCATCACCATTTAGTATCCATTCTTTCAAATATTTTGAGAAATCTAAGGGTGGTCATTATCTGCAAACTTACATCAGAATTGTTGGGTGGGTTGGGGTGTGTATGGGGGTTAGGGTGCATGTTAACCATGTAGATTTGAGATTCCAAGTCTGAGAAACTACTTACCTGCTCTGAAGGTTGAATTATTAACCTATGCATACACATATACCCACCAATGGTGCCACTGCCTTTACCATACTTCATTTAACCCCAAGTCAAAGCCAGCTTGCCCAGAGCCAACTAAAACATTGCCTTGGGTATGTGTAGGGACAGGCCACCTGTTCACATGAAGACTAAATTTTCAAGTACCCTTTCATCTATCTTGTTTGAACTCCACTTCCTAAATTTATACTCAGATGTTTAATAGTACATGTAGATCAAGATGGATGTTCAATGCGAATTGTATTATTCACTCAACAAGTATTCACCTGAGTAGCCCTGCCACATGTTGTAGAAGGTGCACCTATCTAGCTGAACATGACATAAATCCATTTCCCATGGAAAGAACGGGCGGTAGGAGACAGACAAAAGCAGGCCCATTTCAATCAAGTTAGTTAATTTACACCAACAGCATACCTCGACTGATCAAGGTAGGCCTCTCAGGAGTGACTTCCAATGAATCACCTACATTGAAGAATCCAGGGAATTCCAGAGAGGGAAGAATAAATCTAGAGGCTCAGAGGCTTGTTAGAGAAACAGAAATGCAAGAGTAGCTTCAGTGAGGCTGAAGTGCAGAGCTGAAATTAAGGAGAGGCCAATCAGTAGTGGCCCACTTTACACTCAGTGACTGGGAAAAACATGGAGAAACCAGGTACCCAAATGGGTACTGCTACAGGACTTCTAACGTTCAGTTCTAGGCCTGATCTTAAAGAAGTGCAGTTCGATTTCACAGAAACCATGTTGGAGCTTCATGTGCAGAAGTGGGACAATTAAAACACCAAATTTTGAGTCTAAAGGATCTTAACTGCCATGCCTCACTGGCTCCTAGTGCCTATACCCAAGTCTGCTGAAGTCGTTTTAAGGCACAGTTGGAAGATCACTCAAACTCCATCACCTTTTCATGCAGGACTGCTTCAGCAGAGCACATACAGGTGAAAAAAAACCCTTCAAGGTCTAATAGGGAGGCTTTCTGAATGCTTCCCTGGGCCAGACAAAGCAGCATCAGGCAAACTGCCAGGATAAAGTGGGTAGAGAAAGTAACAGCAAATTCTCCAAGGTTAATTCCTTCTCAGCTAGACCCACTCAAACACACAAATCAGTGACGATTAAAAAAACCCTTTTTATTTAGAAAGGCTGAAATGTTCCTATATGCCAATTTGAATAGCTAGGTTGTACAAGAAACAACTTGAAAATTCCCTTTCCGATGTCCTCCAAGAGCTGGATTCCTGTAGAAAGAAAAAAGTGAGTTTTCTTACTGGATGGGAAAGAATATATGCACTATATGAATTTGTAAATTTACCACAGTCTATTAAATACTAAACACCAATATATGAACAGATACCTACCATTTTATGCGCTTTGATCTTTCTTCAGTCCTGAAAAAAATTATACAAATGATTTTTTAAGCAAGTGATTTATTCTTCCTTTCCCAATGTTTAGAAATCCTTATGATCCCTCAGACAGTTCCTTCTGGAACAAGCTTTCCTCTTTTCCCCCAACCAGCCCCAGTGGGTTCACCTTTACAGGCTCTGGGACTAGGACAGGAGGTAAGACGTGTGAAAGTTTCTTCACTGGGAAATTTTAACTTGGCCCACCTTGCATCTAAATTTACTTACCTCTAACTTCAGACTGGAGTTGAGCAGAAATATGGCATATGCTTTCGCTGCAAAAGAATGATTGGGAACTAAGTGAGCATCCCCAAGAGGCCCTGCTGCTTGGAGAAAAGACACAACTATATCAGCTATGTAGGTTTCAACAGACATCTTACAGAAACTACCAGCTAGTCCAAAAAATTTCTTATTGGCTGCAAATTGTATTCAACTCACTTCTTTTTGTTGTCACTTTCCCCTCCAAGACAAGCTCACAGCTCAGAGAATACCTTTCAGTCACAGTAATCAGACTGGGGCGGTATTGAACTCATCACTGGTGAGTGGGAATTTGTCACAGGTGGTTCAGGAACGGCTAGACTTTGGGTTAAGCCAGTATGTCTGAAGAGCCATCCAGACCAAAGCACCACACACACAAAAACTGTGGCAAATTTTATATAGCAACCAGATAGTGCTGTGAAGGCATTTACCTCAAATCATTCTTGGGCTCCCGACAAGGTGCTGGACCTGAAAGAAAAGAGACTGAATCAGTAATGCTTATCTCCTGCATTAAAAGTTGTTCCCACCTAAGCCACTGTTCCTAGAAAATCAGATTTCCGAGTCTCAACAGCAAGTTATCAGCCGAACGAGATTCCATGTAAGTCATCACATATACAGGCCTAAAAAGGCGCTTTTTTCAACCCAGTATGCTACATGCACCAACATATGGTGATTACTCACCTTCGAGCAAAAAAGCAGGTTACTGGTAACAGCACCTGGGGAAAGACAAAGCTGTGGGTGAAGGCATCTTACACATGGTACCCCACACTGTCTCCCCCGTTTCTCAGGTGTTCACTTGTTTTCATTCTAAGTCATAGTGAGCTAGTTTGCTTCATCATAGAAACTGTCTACTTGGTGGCACAAGACAGAGACATTTATCAACTAACCTTTCAATTCTGGAGGCTTTCCAGTAGTATACACAAACAAGGTGCTCCTGAATGAGAAAATCATGTAATTAGCAAAGCATCTACAACAGCCAAAGCTATTTATTCTACCTACAGTTAATGGAGGGGCCAAGAAAAGCTAAGCAAATGCTCTCGACAGGCACCTGCTGTACCTCGGACCGTTCCTTATGGAACAAGTTTTCATCCTCTCTCCCAGTTAGCCCCAGTGGGTTCACCATTACTGGCTCTGGGGCTAAACAGGGGTTAAGACAGGATGCTTGCTCTCCTCACTGGCACTGGACTCTGGGGCAAGCTACAACCAGCAAGGTCACAAGCACTCACCACTCTCCACTCTTTACAGGAGTCGACCTGGGGCAGATCACAGGGCATCTAGGAGAGGCACGAGATCAAGAAACATCACTACAAGGAATAAGAGGAACCAAAAAGCTATACGGGCCAGCCAGAGCTTTGGTAACAAAAAAAGAAACCCAGTGATAAGATTATCCCTTGGACGAGTTCACATATACGCTAATCTACCACAGTATTGGGAGAAGGAACTTACCGGAACACAGATGAATTTATAATCTGGACAACCTGTGAAAGGGAAGCACATGGTTATTAAAAAAATAAACGATGGAATAAATCTCTCCATTAACAGAAACTGCCATCAGAACTCTAACATGCTATTAACTGTCGTACCTCACGGAGGATCAGCATATCAATTCAAATCATCTGACAGTGACATGTGGATGAGGGAAGAGCACACCCTCACAAGAACCAACTGTGCTGCCGGGTTGCTCTCTCTCCCCAGGAAAATCATTCCAAGAACAAGCTGGAAGGAGCAAAAAGGCAACACTGCTCCACTGACCATCTGCCCACCTGCTTGTGGGGAACACAGGAGATGACACCCCAACCTGCCATTTTAACAATTACCTGTATTCATCATCCTGGGAGGCAGCTGAATTCCTCAGAATTGGTGAGAAGATGCTGGAGAGAAAAGAAAGGCATTATATGTACCTAAGAGTAGCCATTCAAACACCCTTGAGTACTCCTGGCCCACTTCTCAGTAGGAAGATGACATCACTTTTGAGGTCAGTCATATGCTTGTCTTTTTACGTTCATCATGGAGTGGCCAATGCAAATTGTACGAGCAAGTCCCACAGAGACATTGTGCCCCTACCCATAGCTACATAAACCACGTGTACCCACCTGGAGCATCACTGCGGTGCTCGATTCGCACAGGAGTAGGTCTTGTCCCATCCTCCAACCCGCAATCTCTTTTGAGCTGAACCACCTCTGAAAACAACGTATTTTCATTTAGTTTTAACCTGGGACAATCTTACCATCCCATGATAGTGTCTCAACACCTTAGAGCTAAAAAACCCAAACCTCTGCTGCGGAGGGTGCTACTCAGAGTTTTTACGTTTTCTCCACTAAGCCATCAGAAAGAGAGAGTTCAGTGCTTGAAATCATCCCCGTAGCACATCCCACAGGACATCCACACTCAACAATGGAAGAACAGTGGGGAAGGATGACCGGAACCACTTACTCTTAACAACAGGAGGGATCTTTTCGAGTCTTCAGCGTTCAATCGGGCGCCTGAACCCTGCAGACAAGACGACATTAGATCAGCGCTGGGTTTTTCGCTAAAGCCTCGTTTCCCGACTGCGTTGGACGTCGGCTGGGCACGGCCCGTCTCCTCAGAGTTTCTTATCCTCACGGAGCTCAGTACAGGTCTGTGAAAAGGCTCTCATCATGGAGACGGCCGCCGCCACGGCCCGCCAGCGCCATCTTGTCTTTCACAAAGCCAGCTGCTGCTTCGAGACCTCGCCCAAGATCTCTTCCCCCTCTCCCACCAACCAAACAGGCGCAGCACAGAGGGAGGCCTAAGACGTGCCATGCTCACGCAGGCATTCCTCCCCTCTTTTCTAACTAAGCAGTAAACACATACCCACCCGGTACAGCAGGAAGAAAACGAGACCGAAGGTGCACAGCTAGACACTTAAATACCACCTCGCAGGGGCCCACGGGATTTTGGGGGCGGGACTATAGCGGGCGCACGCGCATAAGAAGAGGGAGCTCGGGCCTGGGGAGTTGTGGGTAGAGAAGGCGGGCGTGGAGTGCCCGCCCCCAGAAACTGTGGCGCGAAAAAGGTGCGCATGCGTATTAAGGAAGTGCGCTGCAGCGGGGGTCTCTACCGCCGGTTTCCATTGAGGCTGGAGCATTGAGGCCCCGGCTTCGCGCCGATCCTGGACTGACGCTCTGTCTCGGTCACAGCCGCCTGTCCCCCACACTCTTCCCTGAGCCCCACTTGCCCACACACACCTTAAACTCGTGTGCGGGGTCCGCTTCCATGGATCCCGAACCTCCTGAACCCTCGACCGGCGTCGACTCGGTGCCGCGCCAGCCGCCCAGCGCGCACTCCGGGCCTGATGCTCAGGCTCCCAGCGCGGGGGGCGCCTCAGGTACTGGGCCCCGGGCTGAATGCGGGTGGGTCCTTTGCATGGAGCCGTTTCGAGAAAGTGAATCAGGACGTTGGTGCTCCGTTTGAGTCTTAGGACGGGTCTGATTTTTCCTGACCGGCCGCAGGTCCTGCTGTCTGGCCTGGTTTCGCTAGGAGCTTGGCTTGTAGTAGGGCTAACGTTGGCTGAGATTTGGAGCACCATTTTAAGTACGGTACATGAATCAATTACTTCGGTCCTTCCAAATCCCAAGAGGGGGTACAGTAACTACCCCTGTTTTATAGATGAGGGACCCTAGGTGTAAAGGGCTCTTGCAGAGCAGCCTACAACTCCGGCCTGATTGTCAGAGTGGTTCCAGGCACCTCTAGCTGTTGTTATTGAGACCAGCCAACATGAGTCCAGTCGTTTGTGGAAATCACCTAGTGCATGTGCACGTGGAGGAAGGTATTAGGTAATGTTCTAGAGGAGGAACCTGAGGCCTAGAGAGGTTAAGTAACTTGCTCGATGTTATCCAGCTAAGAAATATCAGAGCCAAGATGCAAATCTAGGCAGTCTGATTCCAGCCTGCTCTTTTGACCACTATCGTTTATTGCTGTCCTCACACACTGTTCTCAAGGTAGTCAGGGAGCAAGCAAATACACAGGGAACGAAGGGAATGATCCCTGGGTACTTTCTCTCGATCTTTTTTCATTGTTGTCTCCCCCTCCCCAGGAAGCTTAAAAAGACATTTTCCCCTCTAACACCCGCCCGTGAAATTTTAATACCGCTGATGGATTCTATATCTGCTTATATACTCTGGCCCTTTGGAGGGCCAGAGACCTTTTCAATATCTAAGATTTTTCTTCAGGAATTGTCATTTCAGTCTAACAGAGAGGGCCTCTCTGATAAGGGTGATGTTTGTGCGGAACTCTGATGGAGATGGAGGAGAGAGCCAGGTGGGGTAGATACCAGAGTTCCAAGTAGAAGGACCGGAGCACTGGACTGTGCTTACTGATTAGTAGGGAAAATCATTACAGGTGGTGGTTAGGATCTTAAAAACAAAATTGGGGAGGTTTTATGTGTGTTGAAGAGAGTTTGAAGTTTGGTGGAAATAATGCAAATTTCTTTATCCATGGAATAAATGAATGCTGAACATTTTTTCCTTTGAATAAGGTAGAAAGGGGATGTTCCACAAACGAAGAGTGTAATCGTCAAATTAAATGAAACGTGTATGCGTGCGTAAATATCTTTGCTTGACTGGTGAAGAAAAGCTGGGGTGTCAAGTAATGAGAAATGAGAAAAACAAGGTGAAACAATTGGTGGAAGGTGTTGAATGTTAATATGTTAACATCTTTTAAGTGCTTTCCCTGGCACTTTCCAGACACTGTGCTAAGTGCTTTATACATATTACTTCAATTCAAAAAATAGTTATTGTTACCATCCCCATTTCACAGATAAGAAAATTCAGTTATTACTTACCCAAGCATACATAACTAGTATGGCAGAGCTGTTATTCAAATCCAGTCTCTACTTTTGTCCCTATTAAGAAAATTATCTAAAACTTGGAGCTAGACACAAGTGGTTACTAGGTGTCCTTTCGATGTAAACCAGGCCCACCCAGCTTCAGGATTATCTGATTTTCCAGGGAGTGTGTACCCTTGTTTGACATCCTATTATTGCTTGGGTATTTTACAACTCTCTTAGGTTGCCTTGTATGACATTAGCCCGTTTTTTTTTTTTTTTTGAGGAAGATTAGCCCTGAGCTAACTACTGCCAGTCCTCCTCTTTTTGCTGAGGAAGACTGGCCCTGAGCTAACATCGTGCCCATCTTCCTCTACTTTATGTGGGACGCCTACCACAGCATCGTGTGCCACGCGGTGCCATGTCTGCACCGGGATCCAAACCAGCGAACCCTGGGCCGCCGAGAAGCGGAATGTGTGAACTTAACCGCTGTGCCACTGGGCCGGCCCTGACATTAGCCAGTTTTATATCTACCTTTTAGCAAATTCATATCAGCATTCTTGACTGATGGACTCTACAATCCTTTCCTAAAATTCTCTTTTGGACCAGTCTTAAATCTTATTTGTTTTCTTATTAATTAATAGGTCGAATAAAATCTTTGACATGCGTTCATTTTACATTTTTATGAGTTGTGTTTTAATTTTTTTAAATATTACTTTAACAACCTCTGGGGTATGCTGCCTTTCGTTGGTCTGCTCATTTATTCATTCAAGAAATATTCATTGAGAGTGAGGATTTAAACTCAGGAAGTCTGACTCCAGAGTTGGAGCTTTTAGACAGCATGCTAGTCCTTTAACACCATGCCTCCTCCCAGCTAACATCATATCTTGCCTCTTCTTTCCAGCAAATGTTTTTAACTTTTAAAGTGCTGTCTACACCTGCATTGCTTGGGAGCCTGTTAAAAATGCTGAATCTTGGGTCTTTCCACAGAACAAATGAATTCGAATTTGTATTTTAACAGGATCCCAGGTTATTTGTATGCACACTAAAGTTTAAGAAACACTCCCTAGGGCCTGCCTGATGGCACAGCAGTTAAATCTTCGGCATCCCGGGGTTTGCTGGTTCAAATCCCGGGTGCAGACGTGGCACCGCTTGGCAAGCCATGCTGTGATAGGCGTCCCACATATAAAGTAGAAGAAGATGGGCACGGATGTTAGCTCAGGGCTAGTCTTTCTCAGCAAAAAAGAAGAGGATGGGCAGTAGTTAGCTCAGGGCTAGTCTTCCTCAAAAAAAAAAAAAAAAAGAAAAGAAACACTCCTTTACACAATGCCGTCCACTTCTTTCTCAATACTTTTCAGTCATCCTACTTGATCTCTCAGCAGCACCTTACCCTGTTGACCCATTTCTTGTTTCTTAAAACATTCTGTTCCCACAGCGCTTAGGATACTCCTTTCCTAGTGTTCCTCTTATCTTCCTGATAACTTCTTAGTGATCCTTTGAGGTATATCTTCTGGCCATTCCTTAAATATTAGTGTTCCTCCAGTTGTGTGCTAGGCCGGCTTATTTCTCCCTCTGCTTGGACCACCTTATCCACTCCCATGATTGTCATGACCACCATTATGCCTGTAACTCCAGCACAGGATCTTTTTCCTGAGCCTCAGAGCTATACATCCAATTGCCTTCTGGATGAACATTATCACCTGGATGGTCCACAAACCTCAACTTTTCCAAAACGGAATTCAACCCACTCCTGTTTCTCCTGATTGTCCCAGCCCCCCATTGCCACTACTCTAATTCAGGCCATTGATGCTGAGGTTTTTGTAACAGACTTAATCTAGCTCCCTGGCTCTGGCTTCCTCCCTTCTAGTCCATTCTCACACCTTGTAGTGATCTTTGCAAATAAAAAATTCAAGTCTCACGTCTCCGCTCATAATCCTTCAGTGCCCCTCCATAGAATTGAGGCTAAAGTCCAGACCGTCAGTATAGTCGTTAGGACCCCTGCTTCCTTTGCCAGTTTTCTTACCACCACTCTCCCCAAGCCTGGTCCGCCCTGCCCGCCCACTGTAAAGTCCCTGACGTTCGAGATCATGTCTGTGTAAATCATCATTGTATCCCTATTGCCTAAGAGAGTATATGACACAAAGTAGGACTCAATATATATTAATTTATCTCTTTAAGTTTTTGAAGGATCTTTCTCCAGCCTCAGTTCATGGGCTACCCTACTCACCGAATGACCTGATTAGAGAGGTCTGGTGAGTTTGCTCAGGGAGCAACCCTGCCCCCACCTGGCAGCAAGAGGCATTGCCTCCCTTAATGGAGGAGCAGGCTGTGTAAATAACCAGTGCTTTGCCAGGACCTGGGAGAGAAGACAGTAACCTAAGTGGAGAACAAGACTCCGTTTTGTAACAGAATTTCCTGGATTGTGGAGAAGTATGATACTGGGGAAGATTATCCTCATCTCTGGGGAGATGAGGACGTTGAAGATTGTAAGGATGGGCTTAGAAGCTATATTTGTGGACCTGAGGGAGGAGGGTTTTGGGCAGGAAGGGATGGTGGGGAGTTGATACAGGGAATATCAATTCTCTGCCTTTTGGCTAAGACCAAGTGTAGCACCTGTTCTTATCAGTTTAACATCTGATATTTCCTCTATCTGAGGACAACATATTACGTTGATTTTTGGAACAGGGAGATAGTATAGGAGCTCTGTCTGCTCCACGAATCAACCTGGCATTGTGGTACTTCTAGGACTAGTGCACCCCTTTGGGGATAGTTAGTTGTTTAACAAGAGATTAAGAGAGAAATCTCTTGTAGGGTGTTAACCTTCCACACTCAGGTCCTGGCTCAAGTCAATGGGTTCTTATCCAGGGAGCATTTCCCTGGTCCCCAAGTGTTTAATGGGATTGATATACTTGGAGTTGGAGTCACCCCCACAATGACACCACAGTCCACAAACACCCCACAGTGGGTCTTTGGCCTAGGGAAAAGGCCTCTTACACTGGGAACGACAGGATCTCCTGAACTGCAGACGCTTGTATCTAACTGCCAGACGTCTTCACTGAGATGGCTCATAAACATCTCAGCTTAATTTGTCCAAAACTGAATTCATCATCTTTCCCCACAAATCCATTCCTTCTCTACTGTGCCCTCTTTTACTCAATCGTCTAAGACACAGATGTGGTCATTATCCCACTGCTGCCATACTGTAAATGTCCTCCAGCCAAAGACTGCCAGGAACATATTTGCACTGGAGCACGGTGGGTTTACTACTTGTTACAGCAAGGAAGCACACACCGTGGGGAACCATGGATGTCTCAGTAAGAGGGGTTAGAAAGAACTTACAGGATTTGGGCTTGTGTTAGGTGATTTTGTGGAGGGTTTAAGCAAGTGGGGCTTTACTCTGGATGTTTTCAGGAAGTGGGATCATTTTATGATTGGATATCTTTTTTTTTTTTTAAAGATTTTTTTATTTTTTCCTTTTTCTCCCCAAAGCCCCCCGGTACATAGTTGTATATTCTTCGTTGTGGGTCCTTCCAGTTGTGGCATGTGGGACGCTGCCTCAGCGTGGTCTGATGAGTAGTGCCATGTCCGCGCCCAGGATTCGAACCAACGAAACACTGGGCCGCCTGCAGCGGAGCGCGCGAACTTAACCACTCGGCCACGGGGCCAGCCCCTATGATTGGATATCTTAATAAGTCTTATCTAAAGGAGGGAAGACCAGAATGAGGCTAAAGCTATAACTGGTGAAGACACAGCAGTCCCTCCTATTAGCCAGGACAGGGAGATGTTAGGACTTTTGTGATTTGGATAACGTTCACACGTTTATCTGCGTTCACACATGATTATGGAATGGGCTTATGTTGCCTTGATCCTTCGTGATCAGAGTGGCCTGTCTGATGCTGATGTTGTGTGAAATTATGTTCAACGTGAGAACACCAAGGCCTGGCTGTGAGTGCCAGGCCAGCGTCTGGAGGTCAGCAGCTGCTCTTCTCGTCCTCGGTGCCTTAGTTCAAGCCATTCACCCCTGGATTCCTGCTGCAGGTCCTAACCTGGTTCCCTGGCACGGACTTTACCCCCTTGTAATCCATTCTCCACTTTGTAGCAAGAGTGGTCTTTCTGAATAAAAAATCTGATCTTCTCAGCTCAGAATCCTTAGTGCTCCTCCTTTGTGCATAGGTTAAAGTCTCTGCCTACCGAAAGAGCCAACATGGCCCAGTTTCCTTTTTCAGTTTCAATACCACCACTCTATTCCCTCCCCTGTAAACTCCCTGAGCTCAGAAATCTTGTCTGTATAATTTATTATTTTATCCCCATCCTGTAAAACAAGGCATATCACTATAATTCATTGATTTCTTGCTCTGTGCTATGAAGTAAGCTCCTGAAGAGATTGTTAGAAGAAACACTTTGCACTGTAGGCGGCTTCCTCTAACAGGAATCTCTGAGGATGGAAGCTGCATTCAGGCATTTTCTCAGGGAATAGCTCTGCCCTCTCCTGGCAGCAAGAGGCACTGCCTCGGTTCGTACAGGAGTTAGCATATGCAAATGAGCAGCACTCCGCTGGAAGCTGGGAGTAGGACGTTCACCACTACGGCAAAAATTCACTTTGAGCACAGAATTTCCTTATTTCCTGAACTGTGGAGGAATGTGCCATTCGGAAGCTCTCCCAGCGACGGATTAAACTGTTTTTTGGGAGAGTTGAAGATGTGGATTCTTTTTTTTGGAGGAAGATTAGCCCTGAGCTAACATCCACCGCCAATCCTCCTCTTTCTGCTGAGGAAGACTGGCCCTGAGCTAATATCCGTGCCCATCTTCCTCTACTTTATTTGTGGGATGCCTGCCACCTTTAGTTACTCAGTATCGAAAACATGATTTTATATTCTTTAATCACAACTTAATATTGAAAAAAGGAAGGGAGGGGCTCTCCTGAGTTTCATTTCCAGTCTGAATGCTGTTCTCTGCTAGGGGGTCTGATTAGTATAGAGTCGGCCCTCTCTATCCCTGGGCCCTAACCAACTGGGGATCGAAAGGCCTACGATGGTCGCGTCTGTACTGAACATGTGCAGACATTCTTTTCTTGTCATTATTCCCTAAACAATACAGTATAACAACTATTTACATAGCATTTCTGTTGTATTGGGTGTTGTAAATAATCAAGAGATGATTTCAAGTATATGGGAGGATATGCATAGGTTATATGCAAATATTACATCCTTTTATATAAGGGACTTGAGCATCCTCAGATTTGGGTATGGAGGGTGGTCCTGGAACCAGGATACAGAGGGACGACTGCATTTAGAAGTGAGATAAATACTCTGACAGAGAGGAATGGTCTACCTTTGGTGTGGTGGTGAGGGAAAGCTTACTGGGAGGGAGTGAGGCTTCCATTGTTTTCTCAAGGATGAACAGAAGCTGGGTTGAGGTGGAGGTGGTTTTGAGGGTGGGAGAAAAAGCAATCCAGAGAAGGACCAGCATATGTTGCAAGGACCCGATGGCTTGAGGGACAATTTCAAGGAACTAGAAGAAGGCTATTGTGTTGGGAGTGCAAAGCGAGGGTGAGAGTGAGGAAATGATGTTTGAAACATTGGGGTAGAAAGACCTCTCGGGACCTTGTTGATCATGTTAAGTCTATAAAAACAAAGAAAATCAACTGAAAGATTTTAAGAGCGGTGCCATGATCAGATTTTTTTTTTGAGGAAGATTAGCCCTGAGCTAACATCTGCTGCCAATCCTCTTCTTCTTCTTTTTTTTTTTTAAAGATTTAATTTTTTCCTTTTTCTCCCCAGACACCCCCGGTGCATAGTTGTATATTCTTCGTTGTGGGTCCTTCTAGTTGTGGCATGTGGGACGCTGCCTCAGCGTGGTTTGATGAGCAGTGCCATGTCCGCGCCCAGGATTTGAACCAACGAAACCCTGGGCCGCCTGCAGCGGAGCGCGCGAACTTAACCACTCGGCCACGGGGCCAGCCCCCAATCCTCTTCTTTTTGCTGAGGAAGACTGGCCCTGAGCTAACATCCGTGCCCATTTTCCTCTCCTTTCTATTCGGGACGCCTACCACAGCATGGCTTGCCAAGTGGTGCCATGTCTGCACCCGGGATCTGAACCAGTGAACCCTGGGCCGCTGAAGCAGAACGTGCACACTTAACCACTGCGCCACCAGGCTGACCCCCATGATCAGATTTTTTTAGAAAGGATCACTTGAGCTGTGGTGTAGAGGATGACCGGAGAGGAACCAGTGGATGTGGTGGCACAGAAGGTGATGTCAAGTTCAGGCAAGATATGGGCAAGTCATATCAGTTGTATTTCTGATGTTCAAGAATATTTAACAGCTCTAACATATATGCTTTATGAATTAATATATTTGCTGTCTGCCCACTTTATAAAACAGGATTAGAGATCCTGAATGCAGGAGTAAGAACTGGAACATTTCTAGTCTGGGTCGAGACTTGGAACTGTTTCCAACTGGTTTAAAGAATTGTGTGATGGCAGGCAGTGGTAGTTTCTGTTTTTCTTTAAGTGGAGATACTCTAATTAAATTAACGAGGTTTATTAGAGTTTATATGAGCTCCTAACTGTATAGGGAGAGGTAAGAGCCAAGAAAATTGCCCATGTGCTTCTGGCCTAGAAAACTGGAAGAATGACACTGTCACTCTCTGCACTGTGATATCTGAGCAGGAGATTGGAGAGGAGAGGCTATAGGGGGTTGTAGGGATGGCATTGATGACAACATTAATTTTGGATAATTAGAAATAAAGAACTAAGTGAAGATGAACAATTGGGGTTGAGCACTTAGGTTTGGGGGTCATTTTAATAGATTTGAGAATAAATGGGCTCCTTGAGGGACTGAGAGCGTGTAGAGAAAAGCAAATGTGCAGTGCAGTAAAATAAGATAGACAGATTATAAGCATATAGTTTGGAAAGGAAAAAATAGAGCTGCCGTTTATTGTATATAACATAATCACTTATATAGGAACTCCCCTCCAAAGTCTACAGACAAATTCTTGGAAATAATAGAAGAGTTTAGCAAGATAGCTGGATATAAAATTTCATGTGCAAATGTCAGTTGCACTAGAAAACATATTAAAGAGAAGACATCATTTATAATAGTTTCACAAACTTGTAAGTCCCTAGATGGGGCAGGCCCTGTGGTGCAGCGGTTAAGTTCACACGTTCCGCTTTGTGGCCCGGGGTTCGCCGGTTCGGATCCCGGGTGCGGACCTATGCACCACTTGTCAAGCCATGCTGCGGCAGGCATCCCACATAGAAAGTAGAGGAAGACGGGCATGGATGTTAGCTCAGGGCCAGTCTTCCTCAGCAAAAAGAGGAGGATTGGCGGTGGATGTTAGCTCAGGGCTAATCTTCCTCAAAAAAAAAAAAAAAGATGTGCAGGCCTCCTGCAGGGAAAGTTGCAGAATATTAAGTGATATTAAAGAAGACCTAAATATGTGGAGAGATTATGCCACATACATGGTTCGAAAGACTTACTATCACAAGGTTGTCAGTTCTTCCCAAATTGATACATGATTCAATACAATTCCAAGAACAGTCCAAACAGGATTTTTCATGAACTTGTTAAGATATTTCTAAAACTCAAGGGAGAGTAAAAGGACAAAAATTAGCTGAGACACATCAGAGAAGAGCAAGGAGGGGAGACTTGCCCTGTTGGGTATGACTTGTTATGAAGCTCTGGTAATTAACACGGCATGGGATAAACAAAATTGAGCAATAGATTAGAATAGAAAGCCCAGAAAAATCCATGTACATATG